TCATCTGTGGTACCCACCGGAGGCAGATCTCAGCCTTGGTTTGGTCGCTCCTGTAAGACTGCATTACGCAGTAAGCAGGAGTGTTATCAAGCCTGAGCTGCAGCTTCGGCGACTCGGAATGTAAACACCAGCACACTTAAAAAGAAGTATAACTTCGCCTCCAGGTCCTTTAAAAGAGTTATTGCCAAGGCAAAGTCAGAGCACATAGGCAGAATTGGCGAGAAACTAATTCGCCTTCCTTCGGGAACCCGTGCATTCTGGTCTCTCACCAAAGCTGTCCAAGGGAATTTCTGTAAGCCATCACTACCATCTCTGCACAGGGAGGATGACTCACTGGCCCATGACGCAAAAGACAAAGCCGACCTTTTAGGCTCCCTTTTTGCGTCCAACTCGACTCTTGATGACGGGGGGAAAACACCGCCGACCATCCCGCGGTGTGAGTGCTCCATGCCGGATGTGCTGTTCTCACAGCGCTCGGTTCGCAAAGCACTGCTCTCCCTGGACATCCAGAAGTCGAGTGGGCCTGACGGAATCCCCCCAATTGTGCTGAGGACGTGTGCTCCGGAGTTGGCACCGGTCCTAACGCGTCTTTTCCGGTACTCCTACTCCCAAGGCGTAGTCCCGAATTAATGGAAGACAGCTTTTATCCACCCGATCCCTAAAAAAGGCGACCGCTCAGACCCATCCAACTATAGGCCTATCGCGATCACCTCCTTGTTCTCCAAAATAATGGAATCCATTATTAACTGCTAGCTCATCCGGTACCTTGAGGATCACCAGCTGATTAGTGAACGCCAATACGGTTTTCGTCGGGGTCGATCAGCTGTTGATCTTCTGGTCTACCTGACCCATAGATGGGTGGAGGCAGTAGAGTCCAATTGGGAGGCGTTAGCCGTTAGTCTGGACATTGCTAAGGCCTTCGATCGGGTTTGGCACAAAGCGCTTCTTTCGAAGCTCCCTTCCTATGGGCTTCCCGAGAAATTGTGCAATTGGATCACCAGCTTCCTTGCAGATCGGAGCATCAAGGTCCTTGTAGACGGTGCATGCTCTGACTACAAGCCTATTAACGCTGGTGTTCCACAAGGCTGTGTGCTATCACCAACGCTGTTTCTTGCTGTATATGATATGTTGCTAACTGGTAACATTCATTGCTATGCGGATGACAGCACTGGTGATGCTCTATACACCGGCCGTGCCAATATTTCTCGGGAAAACTCGCTGAGTACCGGAACAAACTTGTGTCTGAAGTCGATTCTTTGCTGAGCAAAGTCTCGGATTGGGGACGACTAAATCTAGTCCAGTTTAATCCTCAGAAGACACAAGTTTGCGCGTTTACCGCTAAAAAGAACCCCTTTGTCGTATCTCTTCAGTTTCAAGGTACTCCCCTTCTTGCCTCAGCCAGTATCGGTATCCTCGGAGTTGATATATCGAGTGACGTGCAGTTTCGTGGTCACTTGGAAGGTAAGGCCAAATTGGCCTCTAAAAAGCTTGGCGTGCTCAGCAGAGCGGGACAATATTTCATGCCGGCACACCGCCTGCAACTTTACAAGGCGCAAGTTCGGCCTCACATGGAATACTGTTCCCATCTCTGGGCAGGGGCTCCCCAGTGCCAGCTCCTTCCACTTGACCGCATCCAACGCAGAGCTGCGCGAATCGTCGACGACCGAGCCCTTTCCGATCGGCTCGATTCATTGGCACTGCGAAGAGATGTTGCATCCCTTTGCATTTTCTTTCGCATCTACCATGGGGAGTGCTCTGAGGAATTGTTCGGATTAATCCCAGCCGCCAAATTTCACGAACGCACATCGCGGCAGAACTCCCGATACCATCCACACCATCTGGATGATTGGCGGTCCACCACTGTGCGATTTAGAAGATGTTTTCTTCCTCGCACGACCTCCTTGTGGAATCGATTACCATCAGCGATTTTTCCGGACCGATACGACTTAGGGACCTTCAAGAAAAGAGCGTACTCCTTTTTAAAAGGCCGGCAACGCATCTGCGAATCCCCTGATGTTGCAGTTGTTCATGGGCGGCGGTAGTCACTTACCATCAGGTGAGCCGCATGCTCGTTTGCCCCCTTTCCTATAAAAAAAAAATCAAATGACCTTTGATCAGAATGTGTTAAATGCACCATCGGATATCTGCTCCGCATTCAGCAACTTTTTTGAGAGAAACTTCTATGAACCAGCGGATCAATACCCAGCTAACTCAATAAATGAAACTCCACGATCTGACACTGTACATGACATTAATGTTACTGAAGAATGTACTTATGAACTGCTTGAAAATCTTGAAGTAAAAAAGGGAGCTGGTTGCGACGGTATGCCACCGGTATTTTTCGTTCAATGAGCTAAATCTCTATCGGGTCCTGTGTCATTGGTCTTCAACAGGTGTCTTCGTGATGGATACTTTCCTAATATATGGAAAATGGCCCATATAGTGCCAATTCATATAAAAGGATTGAGGATATCAGTTGAAAACTACCGACCTATATCTATACTTAACGTGTTGAGCAAAATGTTCGAGAGGGTTGTACATAAATTTATCTATCCTGTAATATCTGTCTCAATACCAATAGAGCAGCATGGGTTCATGAAGGGTCGGTCCACAGCCACAAATCTGGGAGTATTTGTCGATTATGTATTAAGTAACATGGATGGCGGGTCTCAGGTTGATGCGATTTACACGGATTTTGAGAAGGCGTTTGACCGTGTAGATCACATTATTTTTTTACGTAAACTTTATGAACTTGGTATACGGGGTAACTTGATTAGATGGATGGAATCTTATTTACGCAATCGATCTCAAGCTGTCGTTATAGGAGAATTTTGCTCAGATTTTATTGCGATACCTTCCGGCGTCCCACAAGGATCCATACTAGGACCACTTCTGTACGCTTCATATTTGTACGACGTAGGTGCTTGCTTCGAACACGCTCGAATCCTTATGTACGCTGATGACATTAAAATATTTATGAAAATTAAAAATGATATGGATTGTACTGGCCTACAAGCTGATCTTAACCGTCTAGAACAATATTATACTGATAATTGAATTAGAATAAATATAAATAAATGTTCTTTTATCTCCTTTACTCGCAAGAAACATCCAATCAATTTTGAATACTATATTAGTAATGTTAAAATTGCAAAATCGGCTTGTGTTAGGGATCTCGGTGTTCACATTAATTGCAAGTTGACATTTTCTGATCATACAGAAATTATTAAAAACAAAGCGTACAGAAGCCTGGGTTTCGTATTGCGTGTTAGTCGTCCCTTCTCGGACATAGTTGCCTAAAGGTACTATATTACGCTTATGTTAGGAGCATCCTAGAATACTGTAGCATAGTTTGGAACCCTCAGTATATCATTTATACTCAAGATTTGGAGAAAATGCAAGAAAAATTCATAAAACACTTAAATTATCGGTCGCATTGCCTCTTTGAAAACTATGATGACTCCTGTCATTATCATAATCTCACGACTCTCAAAAATAGGCGTGTACTTGCTGACATGTCCTTTTTACACGGAATATGCAACGGATATATAGATAGCCCTGAACTATCAACCAAAATACTGAGTTTCTGCGGCCCGAAAGTTAGAACGAGACACACAAATTTATTTGCTGTAACACGATCAAAATCAAATTACGCACAAAACGCATTAGTCAGTCGATTGCATAGAACTTTTAATAACCAATTTAATGTTACTGACATTTTTCATAGTAGTAGACATGTGTTTAAGAGGGAAGTTCTTGAAATACTTGAAGGAAATGGTTAATATGTATATTGAACACACACACAAACACACACACACACACACACACACACACACACACACACACGCACGCGCACACACACACACACACACTTACACACACACACACACACACACACACACACACACACACACACACACACACACACACACACACACACACACACACACACAAGCGCGCACGTACACGAACACACAGATCAGAGAGAAAGATAGACGCGCTGTTTTTAATTGTTAATTCTAAAATTGTATGTTTTTGTGGCTCAAACTTATTGATTGTCGGTCGATTAATTTAAGTTAAAAAATGTATAAAGTAGATCCGTTATTGGCTGCAAGTTTATTTCTTAAGTTCATTTACATTGTAATTAGGGCTGTGGATCTTGTAATAATTAAATAAAAAAAAATATTTATCAAGCACATCCAATAGAATAGAATTTATTGAACTTTATCAAGCACATCCAATAATATGGGACGCAACTCGAAAGGATAATAAAAATAAAAATTTATTAGCTGATGCATGGCGCAACATTCAACAGAATATGGGAATGAATTTCTCAATTGAAGATTTAAAAAAAAGCGAGAATCATTAATGAGCACATATCGCCTTTACAGAAAGAAAATTAGTGACTCTACTCGATCTGGACCATCAACAGATGATATTTTTAAACCAAATTGGTTCGCTTATGAGCTCATGGATAGTTTTTTTGCTCCGATATATCATAAATCAGATTCAGTTACTATTAATGCAAAGATAAGATAAACATTGATTAATTTTTACTTTATTTATTTACATAGATAAAATCACAAACTGTGACAAATTACATACTTAATCTAAAGCACTTAGTTGTTTATTTCGTTATGAAAAAATCATCTGGGTAGGTAGGTACATTGAGCCACAGGCTAGACGTAACATGTTGACCTTGAGTGCGCTTTTATGCCCTACGTATTAAAATATGTTTTTGTAGTGCAACTGATACATACATAGATCTGATCTGTGGCTGTGTGTACCTAAATCTACATAATAATTTTGTAGGTCGGTAGAATTTTTATATAGTGTGAATAAAAGTATGATGCATATTCATTTCGTATTTCTCTAGCATTTTCTGTTGTTCTAATTGCTATTTGATCTAGTGATCTTAATTGTTGCTCTTTTAAAACATTATCTATATTAACTTCCGGCATATACATACGGTAGGAGTGCTGACTCTTTTTCAAAAAATTATGAAGTACAAAGCAAGTGAGTGTGATAAAAATGCTTTTTCGGGTTGTAGTAACATATTGGTTTTTAACTCTCCAAATACCGATGTCATTATTCCAAATACACATTCAATCACAACACGAGCCCTTGATAGTCGACTGTTGAATTTTCTATTTTCTGAGCCAACTGGCGATGTACCAGGGAAAGAGTTCATGATTCTTTTCGATAATTCAAAAGCTCCATCTGCAACAAAAACATAAGACAAAGGAAGATGTCGATCAGTTAAAGGAGCGTCTTGCGGAAAAAGGGAATCAGGTCCATATTTTTTATTATAAACCATGCTATCATTAAAAACTCCACCGTCACTCATACGGCCATGTGTTCCTACGTCAGCAAATAAAAAGTTGTAGTCACTATCAGCTACCGCTAGTAATATTATGCTGAAATTGTGTTTATAGTTATAGAACTCTGATCCACTATTAATGGGTGACTGTATTTTAATGTTTTTCCCATCGATAGCGCCCAAACTATGTGGAAATTGCCATTTTATTTCAAATTCTCGAGCAATCTCAAGCCATTTATGTTCATTTTGAGGCATCTAAAACAGAAAAAAATATATCAGGGTAGTTAATAGTTAGTAATTTAAATAAGGGTTGAAATTTATATGTTGTGTTTCAATTTTTAGACAATGGAGTTCCTAATGAAGACAGCAATCAAGATAGAAGCTTTTCTAACGAAGACAGCATTCAAAATAGAAGTTCCACGTCAGCCAAAAAACGGCAAGAATCAGAAGTCACGGAAGTACGTGCTCAGATTAAGACAGCAGTAAATGTCCTAAAAAATCTCTCCGGCCGACCACGAACTGAAGTGGACGAGGTAGACTTATACTGTCGACTACTGGCCAAAAAAATTAAAAAAATTAATGAGCAACAAAGGGAGGTTATAATGTACGATATAGACGAACTTATTTATCAGAAGCGAAATGAGTCTTACTTAAATATTAAGAGCCCTGCTCGTAGCAGCACTTACTTCTACGTAAGGTCTACCCGAGATTCCGTGCGTTATGCACCTACACCATCCCCTTCACCTCAAGTGATGCCAAGCCCGTCATATCACGTTGCTGATGATTATAGTGATTATATAGTTGTATCACCAAATCACAGCCAAGCAGAATATGTGACAGGTTCATCCACCTCCCCCACATCTACTCCAAAGGTGACAATTATATCAAATGACATTATCTCTCAAGCATTTACTCTTTTTCAGTTACAAAATAAGAATTGAATGATAATGCAAAGTCAATTACTTTGTCTAATTATTTTTCTCAATAAGGGTGTTATGATTATTATTATTATGGTTTTATTTTACAACATATACAAAAGTTACTTACTTTTACAAAAGGAACGCAATGCCTCACATAGTGCTTTACATACTTCCGGTCCGATCAATGACTGCACTCAACCGGCACTTTTCTGAGCCTCCTATTTCTATTGATGACTCTATTAAGTCTAGTACACTTAATCTTCTCTCCAATATTCCTAAGCTGTTGTGTTCTCCTTTTAATTTCAGTAAAGTTACTGATGGTGAAATAAAAAATTTCTTTTATCTTTTTCCACTAAATTAAAGAACTTGTCCCTATTATCACTCACATTATCTTGAGAACAACTTGAGAAGAAATCTTAAATTGGTAATGAAGACTTTTGAATGAATCTCCAGTCGCTAAAAATCTAAGTGTCACAGCAAGGCATACTTTAGTTGGTATTGAGTCTCTGAATACTGTATCTTGCTTTTTTATTCTTGGTCCAATCAAATGTAGAAGGTATTCGCAATCTATCGAAGAAATACGACAAAAGTAATCAAACTGTCCTGATGGCTCTTGAATCAAATTACTCAATAATCGGGTTCCGTCATATCTAAAAAGGAAAGAAAATGTAAATATAGAATAGGTACTTTAATTGATGTTATTAGAATATTTAAAATGGAGTGTATAACTAGATCTTTACTCACTGATTCCGTGTTTTATGATGTGTCGTCATCCACCATCTTCTTTGACGTGGCTTTTTATTTTTTCTCAGTAACAAATATAAATGTGCACTCAGTACTATAAAAGCGCTCAGAGCAGTTTCGATTTCTGTATCGGACATCTTCACATCGGCCCTGACGGGAAAAACTAGTTTATTAGCCAACGTGTGTACGCATCACCGAATTTGCAGTCCAACGTTGGTACGAGCGTTGGGACCAACGTGTGGAGCCGGTCTAAAAGTGTGACCATACAGAAGATGAATACTCTAGTAAAGAACGAAAAAAATATATAATAATTGAAATGATGCCAGAAGTTAGGTGAAATCTTTCTTTACACGAATTATAAACACTAATGTTATGAAACTTTTTTGCGTAATATACTCATACTCGTAATATGGACAGAACGAAAATTTTGAATTGAAATATACACCAAATTCCTTAATAATCTCCATGCGTATCAGAGGATGGCTATTGATATTATACTTAAAATCTAGGTGATTGTGTTTAGTAGTGAAGGTGATAACTAAACACTTACTGATATTTAAGGACAAAATTAGCAGAACACTAATCGTGAACTGCATTTGTCTTTTTGCAATGCAATGTAGTCATTAAGGTAATTTATCAAACAATATATCTTCATATCGTCAGCAGAAAATAGGCAGTGTCTCTAGATTATATCATTATTTAATCATTAGTTTTTTCTATAGAATTTATTATTCTTTGGAAAGTACTCCCTCCCTAAAGAAAAATCAGCAGAATCATTTGAGTAGTAATTTATTCCACTAAACTTAACGCTCGCTGTAAATTTCACAATAGGTGAGCAACCCGGGTTCAATCTACGCTGGCAATGATGAAATTGTCAATTGCAATTTTAGGTGCTGATTTACCATGTGCTCGGCGGTGAAGGAAAACATCGTGAGGAAACCTACATGTTTGAGAAAAAAAATCAAAGTGATGTGAAGTCCGCCAACACGCATTAGGGCAGCGTGGCGGACATATCCTTGTCCTAAAACCGTCTCAGAAGTGAGAGGAGGCCTGTGCCCAACATATAGTCTGTAACTTTACCTTTTAACTTTTTATGCCATCAAAAACACATTATTAATATTTCAACAAAATTGATCCCCAATATAAATCTTGACCTTCAACGCTTTTTCTTGCTTTTACGCTTCCCGGCTTTCTTTTTAAATTTGAACTATATCTAAGAATTTTATACTTGGGGAGTGCTTTCAGCCGGGATGGAAGATGTGATTTAGATGTGGACAGGCGTGTCGCTGCCGGGAACAAAGTCAGTGGTGCCCTGACTGCGTTAGTCAAAAGGCAAGGCGTAGTGAAGAGTGCACGCCTTGCAATACATGACGAAGTGTTGGTACCGACTTTAATATATGGCAGCAAAACCTGGGTATGCTAGAAAAAGCATAAAAGCAAGTAGTATGCAGTGGAGATGCGATCTCTTTGTAAACTGTGTGGCGTTACCATGGCCTAGCGAAAGCGAAACGAAGAGATTCGCAATATGGCAGGTTTGAAAGATGACCTTATCACAAAAATTAATAAGGGCGTGCTTTGATGGTTTGGGCATGTTGAACGAATGAGTGAAGACCGAATGGTGAAGAAAATATATAGCGCGAAAGTAAATATTAAAAGGTGTCGAGGTAGACCGAGACTAACTTTCGAAGACCATGTGAGTAAATTGCTCGAAGAAGAGAGGATCAAGAGTACTACCTAGACGTGCATCTCTCTGGCTACCCCGTCAGGGATTGTGCGTGAAGATAAGTATAAGTATAAAGAAATTATTTATTCGACTTCGAATTAATGATTTTAGTATTGAAATTTTACCCTGTGTTTACGCTTAATGATCTACATTGATGGTAACTTAGAACTGACATATGTTTTTCATGAGTGAATCAATGATTTTTTCTATAAATGGCACTTTCAGACCTTAATAAGTAAAGAACTACAAAGTTTTATTTTTAAAATTTAAGATTCTACCTTTTTAATAGAAGTGTTAAATTACAAATATAAGCGTATCACACAGCCATCTGTCCAGATTGGTATTCCATTTTAAATTAATATGTATAAATAATTACATACTTATGTAAAGTTTATATATATATATATATATATATATATATATATATATATATATATTATATAGATGCTATGATTATCTTATATGTATTACTAAACTTATATAAAATACTATTACATATATGTATACTTGGGGAGTGCTTTTAGCCGGGATGGAAGATGTGATTTAGATGTGGACAGGCGTGTCGCTGCCGGGAACAAAGTCAATGGTGCCCTGACTGCGTTAGTCAAAAGGCAAGGCGTAGCGAAGAGTGCACGCCTTGCAATACATAACGCAGTGTTGGTACCGACTTTGTTATATGGCAGCGAAACCTGGGTATGCCAGAAGAAGCATAAAAGTAAGTTGAATGCAGTGGAGATGCGATCTCTTCGTAAAATGTGCGGCGTTACCATGGCCGACCGAAAGCGAAACGAAGAGATTCGCAATATGGCAGGTTTGAAAGATGACCTTATCACAAAAATTGATAAGGGCGTGCTTCGGTGGTTTGGGCACGTTGAGCGAATGAGTGAAGACCGAATGGTGAAGAAAATATATAGCGCGAAAGTTAATATTAAAAGGTGTCGAGGTAGACCGAGACTAACTTTCGAAGACCATGTGAGCAAATTGCTCGAAGAGGGTAGGGTCAAAAGTACTCGGATACCTAGACGTGCATGCATGAAGAAGATAATGAATCTGAAAGAAGCGAAAGAGGTTTGTAAGGATCGTGATACTTGGCGATCTGTTCTCTCTGGCTACCCCGTCAGGGATTGTGCGTGAAGATAAGTAAGTAAGTAAGTATATAAAATAAATGTACATGTATAATTTAATTTTATATATTGTATTTTATCTCATTTATACAACTTTTTACTTTTTATCTATCCACATTATGCTTTATCGGGAGAGAAAGTCTCATGCGCTTGTATACATGATTCTGTGTATATCAAGTTTTTGTAAATAAATACAGAAACTTTTAAAAATTACAGAAACGCCGCGCCCAAGTTGCAACGTCCAAATAGTCATGACCCAAGCTTATTAAGAGATAGTTTATTACGGAGAGCTCAAGCTATTTATATATGTGTATGGAAACTTTCTTATATTTCGGAATGACAATGATCGCAATTTTTAAGTTTAGACTAAATATTTTCGAATATTGAGAACCGCTCTAAGAATCTTGTCGTCGTACATCTTCAGTACATTCATGCTCCTTCTGTAATATATAATTTTCTGTTACAGCTGTACGCTTGCGAAACTCCTTGCTACTTCATGTGAAGACACCGCGCTCAGACCATTTGTTCCTACAAAAGTACATCATAATTCCCTTTGTTACTTGTATCTGTCCTTTTCTCGACTGTAAAAAAATCAAACAGTAATATTATGAGAAATATTATGAGGCGTTAAAGTTTTCATAATCCTTTATTAGTACATGTATGTACACATAATGAAAATCAGCTAATGCTACTGTCCAAATTTTGGATTTCTACTCCAGTAGTCAGGAAATGTGCATATAAATAAATACGTAGATAATACTACAAAAAACCTAAAACTGAACAATATTTTTAGTTAGGGCATTAAACCATCAACACATTTTTAATTAAGTATGATTGTAACTCTAATGGCCCATTGTAGAGTTTTGCGTCATTATAATATTATACCAAGCGAAGAAGCACATATTAAAATTTAATGTACTCGAAACGTGTATGCCTTAACGATCCAATTTTCACAAACAGGTTTAAGTCACATAGAATAAACTTCAAACAATTTGCACCTTATTTCTTTACGATTACCGTGTTATATAAATATATAACTGAAATAACAATAACTGCAATAACAAAAAACATAAACTTATGTGTAATAATACTAATTTTACGTATTTTTTGCGTTTATTTAAACTTGGTACCTTTTTATATTAGTATTATTCAATGTGTAGTAATTGTATAAACGTAAATATAAAAAAATATCATAAAATAAAAATGTTTATTTATATAATTCAATTCAATTCAGTTCAATTTATATAATAATAGTATATTCATTTTGATTTATTTTATAAAACAACTAATAAAGAGTTGTGCGCCACAGCTAAGGCACATTTAAGTAACAAAATTAAAACTGCATCTAACAAAATTGAAATGACCTGGAGAATAATAAATAGTGAAACCAGCAAGGTCAAACCGCGCAACTCGGATTTTCAAATGAATATTAACAATATTTTAACTCGATATGATCAAAAAGTTGCTATGGCTTTTGAGAAACATTTTACTGATGTTCCTGTTTTGACAACTAAATCATTAAACTCTTATCCTACTGTTGCCGAATCATTGCTCAAACAAAATGTAAAGGCTTGTTCAAATACTTTTAAATTCAATAGAGTACTGCCAAAAGATATCGTTAAATATTTTAAAACTATAAGAAAAGGGCAGATTTATGGGGGATTTCCGTTAAAGTTATTTTATCTATAAGAGATATAATAGCACCTTATCTAGCCACTATATTTAATACAAGCGTCGAATCTGGTGTGTTTCCTGATTTATTGAAACATAGTAAAGTCATACCTTTATTTAAATCTGGTAGTACATTAGACCCCGCCGATTTTAGACCAATTTCTGTACTACCAACATTTAGTAAAATATTTGAAAAAATAATTTTAGATCAGATGTTAACTTGCTTTAATATTAATAAATTGCTACATAGAAATCAATTAGGTTTTACAAGGGGTCGCTTGACAACTGACGCTGGAGTTGAGCTTATTAAATATATTTTTTGTCCATGGCAGAATTTAGAGGATGCCTTGGGTATATTTTGAGACCTTTCCAAGGCCTTCGATTGCGTTCACCATGAGACATTAATCAGGAAGCTACAGTACTATGGTGTCAAGAACTCAGCGCTTTTTTTTTATAGCATAAGGGTGACAAACGAGCACACAGTCCACCTGATGGTAAGTGGTTGCTGCGGCCCATAGACATCTACATCTATCCCCTATTACAAATCAAAATGTAGATGCGTAGTCACCCGTAAGGTCAATGCCTCATTTTCAGTAAAAAGGGCCACCGGTCACCTGCACTTACCAAGAGAAAAGCAGAGGTAAACCTCTACTTTACGCTGGTTTTCTGTGAGATCGTGGTACCACCCCGGTTCGAGCCGGCCCATCCGTGCGACAGCAAAAGCTGCCGCGTGGTTCTACCACTGTAACAACTTATTATTTCATATTTAAGTAATAGAATGCAGAAAGTTATTATCAATGGTAAAAGTTCTTTCGTACTAATGGGTGTCCCTCAGGGCTCGATTCTCGGCCCATTCCTATATCTAGTGTATATTAATAACTTACCTTCTCTTGTAGAGGATAATCATGATATAGTTTTATTTGGTGATGATACTTCCTTGATTTTCAAACTAAAACGTCAATCATTTAAATGTGACGAGGTGAATAATGCTATATCAAAATTAGTGCATTGGTTTAACGTTAATAATCTACATTTAAACGAAAATAAAACTAAATGTATTAAATTTACAACAACGAATGTTAAAAAATCTGAGTACCAATGTGTTAATGTAAATGGGGAAGTACTGAGCCCTGTTAAATCCACTGTTTTTCTTGGCATCACTCTCGACGCAAAGCTACAGTGGGGCCCCCATATATCCAAACTAGCAAGCAGACTAAGTTCTGCAGCCTATGCTGTAAAAAAGATTAGAGGTCTCATTAGTGTCGAGACAGCTAGATAAGTTTATTTCAGTTATTTTATTGGATAAATGCGGCTGATTCAGAAACTATTTTTGTTTTACAAAAGAGGGCCATTAGAGCTATTAACAACTTAAAACCAAGAGTCTCTTAGGGATAAATTTAAAGAAATAAATGTATTAACTTTGGCCTCTAAGGATATTTACGAAAATTAATGTATGTTCACAAAAACAAAGGTAGTTTTAGTAAAGAAATTGATATACATTCTGTAAACACTAGGAACAAACACAAGCTAGTGATACCAGTTTCTCGACTCCACAAAGACAGTAATTCATTCTTGGGGAAATGTATACGCTATTACAACAAGGTCCCGGAAAGTGTACAGGCTCTCTCTAATAGCAAGTTTAAATGTTTTTTTAAGTTGAAACTGTATAAAAAGGGTTATTGTAGTATAAATGAATACATGGTTGATAATAACCGCTGGGAATGAGGCGATCGGTTCCAAGCTATTTCTAAAATAAATTTTGTACTTATATAGTTTGTACAACCGTTACTGTAAAATTTGCTTAAAAAAAAGTCCCGCTGGGTTTCTTGCTGGTTCTTCCCAGGACAGAGGTTTATTTTCGAACCAGTGGTAAAGTAAAAAATGACTTTCAATAGAAATTACACATGTGATCTATATTAAATAATAAATTATTCTTTTCTATGGCCCCCCACCCCATGTATTTTACTTTGTGTTCTGACCTACCACGGAATAGCAAATACCCGATTTCTATATTCAAGGAACGTTTCGTTCTTCTTAACTGTTTAGGCAAAATATTATACATTTGAAACGTAAATCTTTTAACGTGCGTTCGTAGCATCGACAGCAAGGTCACCGCCCCCCACCCGGCCGCATTCCACGGCGGTATCGGCCGGATTTCTCGACAAGCATTGTAAAGTTTTTTGCGATGTATACTGACGTCTTAGTTTAGCGCCCACATTTGTTACGAAAGTATAAACCCGATTTAAAATCTCTGAATCGTTGCGAGAACACGTATTGTTCTTTAGGACTTATTAATTTCTGTCAAATTAATTGTGCAACTCCGATAGTGATTTTCCTCTGAAGTTCTACGTTTAGCTGTACCATTACGTGACTAACGGAGAGAGTGCCTCAAGAGGGGAATAGTTCCGAGGCTACCCGCGGATACCTTCTCCAGGACAGTATTACGTCATCTAGCCCTGGGAACTTACACACTTATTCATACAAAGCACACATACATTTACGACACTTCCATCAGCCGGGCCAGTCCTGGTGAACCGTCTCCGCTCCAGAAGCATGTTAGTGCCTTTCTCTTACCGATCTTTCCCCCTTTCTTTACTTTAATTAGAGACCTTCCACTTTGGCCTTAAGGCCCGACCTGCATCTGCCTGTAGGTTCTTCCTACCATGGGCCCGAGAGGATCCTACTATTAGATAGGCAGCTGCACGCCGTATCATTAACGATCCATTTTATTACATACGCTGTGCATATATAAAGAGTTTATGTTGCAAACTAAAATAATTCAGCAACTAAGGATAACTTAAAAAAATAAAATTAACTTTAAATGGTTCTTAAAAAGTAGGACTGGCGTTATGTTTTTTGTTAAATTTTATTTTAAGAAAAGGCAAACTATTTTTGGACTTCATTTACTGCAAAACGGCTCGTAAATTAAAACAAAGCATTTTAAAATATAGAAACGACTTACGAAGAGGAGAAGTTCATTGCCCAAACTGTGCACCTTCTATTGTTGGTAAGATTGATTTACCCTAGGAAACAGTGAAACGTGAACGCAAGAAGTCGTTAAAAGTCCAAAATTATCAAAAACAAATGTGAAAAGGAGGCCAAGCTACTAAGATCGTCGTACATTTTTTCAAGTCCTATAATTTCAGCGTCTTCTTTGGAGCTTGGCTCCCGCATATCTCAAACCTTTTTGCAGCAAGACCAACAACCCCGAACACAGTTTGTTCCGAACTCAGCCTCAGTTTCACATAAATGTTTTGGTGGATTAGTTTTCTTTTGTGTTATGCTTGACTAATTTCTACTTGACGCTAAGTGATTATGCATCCGATGATAGTAAATCGCACTGATTTAGTTTTAAATTAATTGACTTAATTATAACACCATTTTCATCACCATTCCGGATATCATAAGCTTGCGTATTATTTCTACCATAGTTATTTTCAATCACCGTATTTTATTTCATTAATCTTATTTAACTTGAGTTATTAGTTTTTCGGCATAATTGCTCGCATAAACTTCTGTAAGGGCCTATGATTTGATTTGAATTACGCCTCACTTCACTAACGAAGGAAATTGATATTATTATTTTATTTCTGCCCGTTACTAATATGGATACGATAAATTTTAATATTATGTATTACAAAGACCCATAATGTTTAATAGACAACAAAAACGTTATTTATAAAATAAAGTGTTCTTAGTATAAATATTATATTTGATAATATCAATATGATAAATACAAAGATACCGAACAAAAATATAAAACGCTTAATAATATATTAAGGCCATAACAGTGGTTGAAATGCCTAAATCTTGGATATTTAAGTAAAATTCAATAACTGATCATTTAATCCGCAAAGCAAAAATACAAGGTAACAGAAGAGGATTTGGTAAAGTTTTTAATTGGACAAAATTGTTTTTGTCAACCCCTTATTAGAAAAAAAACCCCAAAGAGTACCTATCTTTGTCATATTTTGCAAACTATCTCAAAACAAAAAATAAAAAAATTATGCTTTCCTAAGTATAAATAACTATATAAAGACATTCTTGGGTTTATGTTTTTTTTTATATTTTATACACACACACACACACACACACACACACACACACACACACAAATAGGTCGCAAATAATACTTGCCTAGTACTATTAGTTAAGAGTGAATAAATATTATTATATTTTCCATTATCTAAGCATGAAAACTTTTGAAATCTCTGAATCCCGAGGAATGTCCATATTAAGAGGCTGAATAGAGCCACATTGATATGCATGGGGATCGTTTTGTAATTTCACGTCGTTATCGAAAAACAAATTGTACGTGTTTCAGGTGGCGGTTTGCAAAACACGATCCCACAAAAATTCACTCAATAGAAAATAATTGCACAGTTGCTTCTGAAAATACTTAAATTTTCAACGTCAATTTTTTCTTACGTGGTAGTGCCAGGCTGCAGCTGTATTAGTAGTAGCTATAGTTGTAGCACGAATGGGTTGGCTCGACCGGGGAAGGGCCACGCTCCACAGAATACCATGTAAAATAGCAGTTTAACCCTGCTGTGTTTCGTATGGTGAGTGTAGAGAACCGGAGAACCGGAGAACCTTTTTACTGGAAACGAGGCAATACATCTTAGTCCTCACGGGTGACAATGCATCTACATTTTGATACGTAATCGAGAATAGATGTAAATGTCCAACCACTTACCATGTGTGCTCGTTTGTCACCCTTATTCTATTAAAAAAAACTTTCTGAGATTTCAGTAAAATAATGTTAAGTATTGTAAGCACTCGTACAATAACTGTTTGTCTCATAATGATTTCTTATATTTATGCGAACACTACACATTTTAAATAAAACTAATTTTACGGATTCTATCGCGTATATTAACTTATTTTTATATATTCCCGACGTTTCGGGTGCTTTCCAGCACCCGTGGTCACGGGGGACTGAGTTGTTTGACGTCCTGCTGTCATAGTTAGCCCGGCTACCTTCAGTTTTTTAATATTAATTTTTGGTTCGATTTACGCAGAATGAAGTCTAGCAGTGGTATACTTGGGTTTGGATTTGATTTTATTAATTATGGGATCCCAAGCAGATGGCAGCACCCATCCATCTTCTCTATTGAAATTAGGATGTTTTTTAATTTCAATAGCCTCGCGAATCATCCTTGGGAGGAATCGGTGTTCTTTTGCGAGGATTTGTGGTCTATCAAATCTAATGTAATGGCGGGGACGATCTTGAACATGTTCACAAACTGCAGACTTCCCGATACGTCGGTGCTTCACGTCAGCTATATGTTCTTTAACGCGGGTTTTAGTAGATCTTTTTGTTTGTCCTATGTACGAGAGACCACATTCACAATCCAGCTTGTACACTCCTGCATCTTGTAGAGGGATTTGACAATTGACGGATGGTAAAAATTGACTAATCTTCTTCAGTGGCTTGAAGTACGTTTTAATGGAAGCTCGCTTCAAGATGTAGCCAACCTTGTCTGTGACTCCTCTGACATAGGGTAGTACAGCAGGCACACGCTCGACTGTGGCTGGCTTCACTCGGTCACTGTGACGTAGGCGCGGGACCCGAAGCTTGTTGTCTTGCAGTACTTGCTCGACGTGCTGAAGCTCGGCGGCCAGATGTTTTCTGTCACAGATCCCTCGTGCTCTCTGAAACAAAGATTTTCCCACGGTAGCTAACTGTGAAGGATGATGGTGAGATTCACCATTTAAATATCAGTTGGTATGGGTATTTTTTCTGTACACAGTATGACCAATAGTGTTATCGGGATTTCGGATAACTAAAACATCTAGAAAAGCTAAAGTATTGTTTGCCTCTAACTCCATTGTGAATTGTATTTTAGGGTTTATGGAATTAAGGTGGTTTAAAAATGCAGTTACTTTGTCAGATGGTAAAATTGTGAAAGTATCGTCTACGTACCGCTTGTAGAATCTTGGATTTACAGGAGCAGTAAGAAGGGCTTTCTCCTCAAAGTCCTCCGTGAATATGTTGGCGACTACGGGAGATACAGGTGAGCCCATTGCCACTCCGTCTTCTTGCATGTAGAACTCTTCTTTCCACAATAAATAGCCAGATGTGAGGTAGTGTTTGAGTAATACTGCATATTCTGTAGGCATGTTGTTATCTTCTAGCTTTCTAGTAACAATTGATATGCAGTCTTCAATAGATTCAATAGAAAAAATACCCATACCAACTGATATTTAAATGGTGAATCTCACCATCATCCTTCACAGTTAGCTACCGTGGGAAAATCTTTGTTTCAGAGAGCACGA